CAGCTGCAGTCCCAGCACCGGTGAGCCGTAAGCCAGGCCTAGGATCCAGACCAAGAGCCTGTTCAGGAGCAAAGGGAGGCGGTGCTGTAGGAAGGCCTGAGGTAAAAGTAACACTGTGGGGCTAAAGGGACCGTCCATAAGATTAAACCAGAGAAGAGAACTGGGTATAAGGTTACTTACAGATTTGAAGGGCACCAAGGAGGGGAGGTTAGAAGTAAAACTTGAAACAGGTACACCCACAAAATGGGCTAAACAGGCAGTGAAGGCCCAGGCCAGGCTTAAGTGGAGCTCCTGGGCCTATGGGAAAGGGTGGGTGTGGAAGCCCCAGGTGAGGCTGATCAGGACAAGCGTGGCCTGTTAGTGTGCTTGGGACCCCATAAGGAGGAGATTTCGTTCAGCTGTTGTATATTGCCCTGTCTTTAAATTAGCCATGTCTCCACTACAGGTTTTTTTTCCTGAGAAACTGAAGGTTTGCTCTGATGAGTGCTTTGTTCTCCTTGCCATTGTGATGGGCCTTTTTAAAATTCTCTTTATTAGAGTATACCATAAAGCTTGCTGAGGGCAAAGGAAGGAAAGAACCCTGCACTGAAAGCCCTAAGCTAGGACTACCAGAGTCAGACAAGCAGTAGTAGGTGGGTAATATTCTGCTCTTTACATTTCTCCTACCTACCCGTCTGCTCTTACCCATCTCTGAATACTGCTGTGCCCTGCTGCATGGGGATTTTGTCCCTGTTGTGTGCAGTGAGGTGGTGTTTTTTTTTGGCCCTGTGCACAGCAGAGCACACCTGGTGCTTGTGTCTCTAGAAGGTAACACGTTTGCAGTGCTGGGGAAGTAAAAGCAGCTCATGTATTGGTGGATTGTACTGTAAGAGTCTGTCACTTTGTACAGGGGCTGTTGCCATAGTATAGAAAAAGGGCGTTCAGCGGAGCGCTTGTTAAATGAGTGTACTCTGTTTTCAGAGGTCCCTGATTTGGGCTGCCCGTTACGTATGGAATAACTCAGGGCTGTGTTGCAGAAAGGAAACTCTTCCTGAGAACCAGTATTTCTCTCAGTTTGTGTAGCTTCCATCCACAGTAAGCTACAGCTATGAGCTTCATCTGCAAAGCTCAGCATAAGTTCTGTGCTTTTGTCTGCCACAGAAAGGAAGAGGTGCAGTCATTGCTGGTAAACTGTCCTTATTTTAAGTGCTGCTGTCTGAAGTAACTGCTTTGAGGAACAGGGGAAATTACTAGCTGTGCTTGCGTCACTGGCTCACTTTGCTTCTCACCTGGTTAGTGAGCATCGCCCTCTCCTGCCAGGCCTTTGCTGATTAGGTCTGTTCCCAGATGCTGTGTGACTGCATCGCTTCTGAGGTGCATGGCTGTCTAGGTGTGTTCCCCTGTGTTCTACCTGCGGCTCTCCAGATGACCTGGCAGGGCAGTAACCATGCAAGGAAAGCTGTTTTGGTCTTGTATTCCCCCAGGCAGCAGTGGGAGATCCTGGGTTCTAAAAAGTAAGCACATTTGACTGATTTATGCTACTACTTGTGAATTCCTTTGCTCCCCTCACCTACTCCTGATGGGTCTTTTCAGTCCATCCCCTTGGCTGGCATCTCTCTTTTGTTAAGGCTGTAGGGAGTGCTGTTCACCTCAGAAGAGCATTCCCGTGAGAGGTCTTCTCTGTTGGTGGCCAAGAAACAGTGGAGAGAGATAGCATGGGTATTGAAACACTCACTGAATCCTTTTGTTGTTACCCCTCAGAAGTACCTAGCAACAAAGCACTGACTCTGGAAAGAACAATCTAGTCCTTTTCTGTGGACAGGGGTGAGGCAGACCCTTGAGAATAATGCTGCAGATGCAGCTGTGTTCACGTGCTGCAGTGAACTGGAGGAAGATTAGCACTTGCGCAGTCACTTTTGGGTAAGGGAGGATGAAAAGCTCCCTCTGTTTCCTCATTCTGTCCTTAATTCGTTACAAGCTGTGCAAGTCTTTCCCTTAGGCCAGCCTAATGTTCTAGCGTGTGCAGGGCTTTCGCATCAGTTTGTCATCTGATTTTTCAAGTGGAGGTTGATGAAACAACATGCTAGCAGTTACTTTATGTAAGCTGCTTTGGGGAGGCACATTAATTTTGCTTTAGTCACTGAGGAAGTTTAAACCCTGAAGAGGTTTGCTGTGGGCTTTGCATTGATTAAATAAAATATGTAGCATCCTAAGTGACATTGATAGGTGTGGAGAAGCCCCA